GGTGTAAATAATAAAATGAATGACTGAATTCCAATTTAGCCGCTTCAGTTTCAGGGTCCTAATTTTGTTCATGCTGGCTCACCGTCACATCTTAGTGAGACACTTAGTAACATACTAATTAGTACCACTCTATGACAAGTGAAAATATTTGCTGTGATAAAGACCCACTGTATCATACACTGTCCTGTTTATTCTTCTCCATGTTTGTAAAGATTTATTCACGTTGGCGCCCCGTCCTCTATGGCGAGTAGTTTTTTCTGTTCCGGTGGAGCTACTTGATGAAAACAAGCCTTAGTTGTTAGTGATTCCTGGTGCCAAATTCTGTTAACTGCAAACTGCTAATGACAAATGTACAGTGATTAAAGCTGCCAATACACTGGAGTTATTATACATCATAGTGCCTCTTACACTGGGATCATAGTAACAAATAAGTTGTGTTTTACTGTATTTAGGTAAATTCTCTAATTTATTGTCCTCGTGCAGCCTATGTTTTTCTACTGTCTGGGTTAATAATTGAACAGAAGTGCCTCAACTGTTTAACCCAGGAAAACTCTTTATACACAGCACTGTGCAGAAATGCATTTTAGTCACGCACTACAATCCTATTTTGTTTCTACAAATGCACAAGATTACTTTTTGAAGAACCTTTTTGAAGAATATGTATTTTACATTATGTAACTATTAAAGTTCTATATTCAATTATTGAACCTCATAATTATTTGACCCATTTAACTGGAAGAAAAACTAAAAATAAAGCAGATGGAAGTCTTTATTTCAGCTTTACTACATTTAGAAAAATAACATACTTTTTGTTCAGACTTATTTAAAAGGAAGAACAATCATATTCACATTTTGTCATTTATAAAAGTTTTTTCAACAATCACAGAGGTTAGTATAAGGCTTTAAATGCAGAGGAAAGAAAAATCACAGTTTTTAAGGTTCAGTGATGTTTTACAGCAGTCATCCCAATATAACGTTGTGAATATTCAGCCATGTTTACCTTGACACACATGAGAACACAAAGGAAAGCTGCATAGTGTGCGAAACAACCCATATGGGGCACTGACCATTTTGGTCATGTTTTAGTTCAAAGAACGATGCAACAGTCAGTCAAACAAGTTTCACTGATTGACTGAAGTAATACAAAGCAATGTGCAGTACTTCAGCAGACTGGAAGGCAAATCTTAGCTTTCAAAAGGCTGAAATTTGAATTCTCACTTTCTGAGTAAGCAGAGGGAATAAAGAACTAAGTGATACTGAATACTTAAATACTATTTTTCGAGCTGTCTGCCCGAAACCAATTGTCCACCAGAAATTGTACACATTGTCAGTTTTTACAAAAAACTAATGGGCCTCTTGGAGAAAACTAAATTACATGCACTATCACTGCAGAAGACGCCCCAAACTTTAATTTATTCTTCTTGTGAGTACCTAATTTAGACATGCAAGTCAAAACAATGCCAAGAATATAATGAGGAAATGTTGCTTGCACATTTCTCTATAATTTTCATACTGAGACTGATCCAAGACAAAGACAAATCTTTTTTAACATATCTAAAATATATTTTTGGGGGTTTAAAGGGATTTATAACTTAGGCTACGGCCAACAGTCAAAACAGCCTGAAGTTATTTCCTACAACTCTCCACCATCAAACAGTCTCAGTTTTTTACCCGCTGAAGACAAACAACATAAAAAAAAAAATGCCTTGAGATTTATTTGGCTTCATGTGGTATCAATAGCTGTCAGGGATTTAAAATTAAACCCAGCACGAAGTAAAGACAATATTGACTACGTCCACTTGCAATCCACTTTAAAGCAGCTACATATGTAAGAGAAAACAGAATAAAAAAAAAAAAGAACTGTCAATAACATTTTTATGAAACTAAATAGAAATATTATGATTTTAGGCTTTCATTAATTTTAATTGGCTTTCTTTTAAAAAGAGATACTACTATTCCTTGGAATTCCTAGTGTACGTCTTGGACCTCAAAATACGAATGACAAGAAGAAAATGTAAGGCTTCTAAACGTCTCAATTAAGTGATCGAGACCCAGTGCAGTTAGACAAATGCTTACAGTCTCTCGTGATCTATAGTACAAATATTTTGTGGGCGCGATTCCAGGCTGAGATGCTATAAAACAACCTAATTACTGCACATTTTAATCAACTACCAACACACACCTCTTGAAAGTGATACTCGGCTATACCATGAGCAAAGAGGTAACGGGCAATAGGTTGATGACATTGTTGTTGAAATCTTTCCTCTATTTATGGGAGAGTGCTTTCGGTCAATCCCATCACGTGATTCTTGTTTACTGACTTGTGTACTTTATGAAACTTATGGAGAGAGGTATGTAGGGGACGGTGAGGAATACTCGTAGCAGGAGAGAGAGCATTAGAGTACTGACACTTGAGATCATAGTGTTTGGGGACATTCATGTAATATGGATAAGCGGGTTTCACGCTGGATGGAAAACGCACTCACTGGCCTTCGAGCGGCACACTAGAGCTTCCAGCAACAGTTGTTCGTGATATCGACTGGAATCCGCAGTCTGTGCAATTGATTGCAGCCGGAAGAGGTGGATCAGAGATTAATAATTATTCGTTGATATAGATACCATTTACAGGTGACTATCTGTTAGTCTTTAGCAGAATACTTCAAACATTCTTCAGAGAAATAACTCTCTTTATTATGACATATGCAATCTTTACTGAGTGTGGGAGTGAGAAGAATCTCATTTCTGTGTATTAAGAGTGTCATGGTGTAGCCCTATAGTTCACATAAAGATGGGGAACATGGGAATGTTTTATATCAGTTCTTACATTATATGACTTTGGGTTATGTTTTTATATCATATAGCAAATGTTAGCAATGTTGCAATTGCAACCAGTTAATGCAACCAATTCCTGTCAATTCTGCTGACCTAGCACTATGTCCAATCACCACAACCAGCCAGTAACGTGTACCATCATTCAATCAGAATATCACAGGCAAACTACACCTAAAAAATAAACAGGAACAAAGACGCGTTTATAAGAGAGACAGAGCCTTATACAAAGTATCAGTAGTATATACTACACGAATATATGTCATGTATCAAATTCAGGTTAATGTAAAATAGTACCTCAAATTATACATGTATTAAAAAACATAACATTACTCATTGTAGGACAGGTGCAACTCTGTGCATCACGTTGCCACCAAATTTTTCATATGGATATCTTGCCTATCTATTAGTTTAATCGCAAATAGTCCTTTCATAGGATGATATTGTTTAGCCATTTTATAACAGTCCCCCCTTCAGTGATATATTCCAATTTATTCTGGAATAAATTGGAATAAGCCTTTGATTTTTAATGAATTATACAAAATAAATCAACAACAGTTTCAGCAATTGTCACATTCTCTACAATTTTATTGCAAAATGCCTGAAAACCATCACAAACATGCACTGCATGATTTTTTCCCATCTAATCCCAACAAAAGCCTGTCCTAGGTTTCTGGCCTTTTAACAGGCAGTTTTTCCTTGCCCCGTCGCCAAGTGGCTTGCTCCATGGTGGTACTGTTGGTCTCTGTAATTTAAAAGGATTCGGTCTAGACCTGCTCCTAATTTGAAAAGTGTCCTGAGATAACTTCTGTTATGAATTGGCGCTATACAAATAAAAATTGAATGAATTCCTAGCAGGACTGGTAAACAATTATCCCGTATAAATCAACCTGTTAGCAGTGCCATGGGTGAGCATGTGTTAGCAATTTCGCTCAAAGTACTGGCTGTGGCCCAGTACACCAGAGGTCTCCAGCTTTGTACAAAATGCCACAGACATGCTTAATTTTCTCCTCAAGAAAGTAATGTTTAGCTGGAAAGACAGTGATTGCTGTGTGTCTAAAAGGAAAAAGATGAATTCCTGCATACTGTCCAAATTGCAAAAACATTTATTTTTAAAGGTTTCGGTTTTTGCAAGGACCTTCATTTGTAAAAATGGCCATTTTGTACTTGAAACATCGAAATAAATGTTTCTATTGCAAAGATTAGAGCAGGTGTGCAGGACTTTATTCTTTTTTGTGCTGTGAGTAGAGTGGACGGGTATTCCCATTCACGCACCTGCCTTTATAGGATTACCAGTAGTGGCAGAGTTGTTTCTTTGTGTCTTATTGTTACAGTGCTAAAGAGAGGATAAATGTATTTTCTAAAATGTATGCCTTATGAGATATATAAAGATATAAGGTATATATTCTGCCAAATGAACCAAGAATGCTAGTTTTACCTCATCCGACTGCGTTCTTTAGATTGTTGAGTATGACTATTAGTATTATTTGTATTGTTGATTTGATGAGAATGTTAAGATTTGTAGGTACATTTATGTGGCAGATAGAACATTCCTTAGTCCGTGCCCTAAATATTGTTAATATTTGACTGCTCTATCTGTCAATCTCTGAATGGGGCGGTAGAAAAACCGATATTCCAACACATTGTTATAGATAGGCTGTTGAAAATGGTTGACAATGTTGTGGTGTATTCGTCGTGTATTACTGGTTCTCACCGTCCAGGGTCCAAGTCCTTTGAAAATAGTTGGCATTTTGACTTGCAGATTGCATTGAATTTATGTAGATGTTAGGAATAATAGGAACAAGATGACTTCCACCACACACTCTCAGGCAC